ATCGTTTCGTGAACTATCAAAGATGGAAATATGGTTCTGACTTTTCCTGAGATTAATTTCTAAATAAAGGGTTTGGCATTTCAAAGCCCTTAATTACGACCAGCATAAACAAGGGTTCATACAAACTTAATCTTATGAAAAGAATGAGCAACAAAAGCTAAAAAGATCTTCTACCTGTAGAATTTTCACCATTCAACTACATGGAGTAGAAGATTTTATAAAACTTCTCCCTCCCCCTCGTTTCAAGAAGTCTATCAAAGATACAATTTGTTAGTGAATTAGTTTAAAAAAGACATTAGTGAATAAGGATGCAGCTCTGACTTCCAGAGTATCATTCAAATTTTGTGGAGTAAGCCAAGCAGTGGAGTCAAAGCGCTGGGCCTTAACTAATATGCACTATATAGTTGAAATTATTCCCAACACTCATGTCCTTTTTGCTGATAAACTTCAGGCTGTATAGAGATGCGGAGAACAAACTCATAAAATAATCACGTGGTTCTTTGTACTGCCAACGACCGGTAGAGACGGCCGTTCGTGAGTGTCTTGAGTAAGCACTCTGCCGTGTCTCCCGTCTCTGATGCACCCAGTAGCCGGCTCTGGGTACGACAGAGACGGGGGGTGGGGTGGAGGACACTAGCACTGCGCGGCGCGTTGGTGTGTTCACGCCATCGGTCTGCTTCACATGTGCGAGTCGACCGGGTACGCCTCGACGTCGGCGTACATGTGCCGGATGGTGTCCCTGGACGGCCTGGGCTGCGGGTAGCCGCCGTTGAGGACGTGGACGGGGACCCGGGTCCGGCCGGGGGGGTTGACGGCGCCCCCGAAGAGGCTGCCGTTGTTGGCGCCGCCCGCGGGCCCGTGCAGCGCGTGGCTGTTCACCCCCAGCGCCACGCCGTTGGCGATGGGCCTGGCGCCGCCGGTGCGGCGAGGGCCGTTGGCGACCACCTGCGGGCCGAAGAAAGGAGGCATACCGTCAGTGAGCTGAGCGTCCGACGGAGAGTTCAACGCACTACTCCGCTCCCCCTACTCACGCACCGGTGGCCCCGGCGGCTCGTCCTCGGCCTCCAAGTCGTGCAGCATCGTGTCGAACTGCATCTCGGCGCGGGGCAGCACGCCCTGCAGGCCGGGCCCACCCCCGCCGCCCGGGGACAGCCGCAGGGACTCCATGTGGCCCTGCACGGCGCGGTAGAACTCGTCCTGCACCTGCTTGCTGTCCGTGTCGCCGTCCACCTGGAACATCGCGCAACAACGGTCATTGTGCCTGAACATCGGCTGAGGGGACTGTGGGTTGTAGAAGTACGTGTAAGTTGCAGCCCGTCACCGAATGGCACTTAAGGTCAGACCGGAAGGGGATCAAATACCTCATGCCAACAGCGGGCGAGCCGCGGGGTTAGTCCCATTCATTCGACAAGTTACGGGAGCTCGGCGCCTGCGAGGCTCGGGGTAGGCCACCCCACCGTACATGCATGCGCTGCAGGCAAGATGTTGCCTACCCATCAGGCGCTATGGCAGCTGCGTGAGGCTGCTGCTCGCTCGGGTCGGGGAGCAAGAAGGCGCTGCACCTTTGGGCGGAGCCGGGAGAAGCCCAGCTCAGAGGCACCCGGGGGCCTCATGCCTATCAACGTGAGTCCGATTGATGAGGGCCATTCGACATTTGCTCATGCTGGGCCCCGGCGCCTGGCCCTGGTGGTTGCGCCGGGCCGCCGGGGCCCCGACAAAGTAAGGGCTGCGTGCGAACCGTCGCCGGGGGGCGGTCTCTGTCCCCTCCCACCGCCACCGCATCCCGCCCGCCTCGCCGCAGACGCCGCGCACGCGGCCGCCTCGGTGGCAAAGGGGCAATCGATACCGGCGGATGGCATTGGTTTGCATAAGGGGCGTGAATGACATGCCAGGTCGGGGCCAGCAGGGCTCCGGCGGGCTCCGTGTTATGAGGCCAGCTTTAAACTATTCATTCTCAGCATGCCTGGAGCTCATTTAATCCCGCTCCGCGCCTTCGATTAGATCGAATCGATCTCCCATAATATTCTGGGTCGCCCTGGACGGAGTGCGGTGACGCGCACGCCCCCTCGCCTCGCGAGACAGAGGCCCGCGGCGCCCCACCGACTGAATTGTGAACTTACGATGGTGAGCCGGTTCTCCTGGTCCATGGTGCGCAGCATGGGCAGGGTGAGCTCCCTGAAGAGCTCGAGGCGCCTGCGGAAGGCGGCCACCGTGTCGTCCAGGCGGCCGCGGCCCAGCTGCAGCTTGGAGCAGTCCAGCAGAAGCACTGGGGGCTGCTGTTTGAACTGGAACGGGACGGAGTCACGTCAGTGTTGGCATCGGCGTGGTTTAGGGCAAAGCAGAGATGGGGGGAAGGGGTACGCTTTATTTTTATGGCGAAATTTCGGCCGTCATTTTCCAAAATTTCATCGCTTTTTTAAAGGAGACCAACTCTTGGCCGCTTAGAAGACCAAATTTTGGCAAGCAACTATTAAAATTTGCCAGTCTCCAAAAGACGGCCAAAATTAGGCAATAAAAAGGAATGCCAAAATGTTGGCAAGCTAGGCGATCACGGCGTTTAGAGTGGAGACTCACCCTGCTCTCGAAGTCCAGCACCTGGCTCATGTCCCGGGGGAAGCCGTCAACGATGATGCCCTGCGCGCGCGCGTTGGCGTTGAGCGCGGACTCGAGGAGCTGTATGACGTACGCCTGCGCCGGATATAAACGAGTTTATTATGAAGGGCCACCATGCGTGTCTCATCGCAAAAAATAATTATAAAAAATTGCCTTTGAGGCTCTCCAGTAGAAACCTTACCGGCAGGACCATCTCGCCGTTGGAGATGGCGTGGCGCACGAGGTGCGCGTCGCCGCCTTGCCGCGGGTCCGGGGCCTGCTCCGCGGCCTGCCTCAGCAGCCTCCCGATGGAGACGTGCGCCCAGCCGGGGGTCTGGCGCGCCGCCTTTTGGCACAGTGAAGACTTGTTGCTGCCCGGTCCGCCTGTGGGGGACAACGAAACCTAGAGATACTACTTGTCCGGCCTACAGAATGCATTGACAAAGTCAAAGGGGAGCGGGTGGCAAGGTGTGGGCTTAAGGACGCAAAGGTCGTGGTCATGAGTCGGAACGGGGACCTTGGGGTCGGGTGTGTGTGTGTGTGTGTGTGTGTGTGTGAGGGAGGAGGAGGAGGACGAGGGGGATCGAAATTAGTCGATGGGTGTGCGTGACAGCTCTGTGTGACGGTGTGTGTGAGTGTCACGCGTGACTGTGCCGCGGTTCGCCACCCCTTATCGTCGACGAGACGTCATTTCCCCGGCCGGTGTAATGTGTAGCAAGTCAATGGGAGGCAGTCGCGGGGCCGCCCGACCAAATAGGCGCGCTTTTAAAAATCAATGAGGATCCATCTGATCCGTGACCACATCGGCCAGGCCCCTTTACACTACCATACTGAGGATAGGGACTCTACACCGCTCGACCTCGGCCGGTGCCCCCCCCCC